CATTCAGAAAACACAACATAGTTGATCTAAAATCTATAAATAAGGTAAAATATATTACCTTATGTATTATTTTATGTATTATCATATGTAATTAAGGAATATATAGTTTCTAAATGCATAACAAAATGTCGAAAAGGAAAGATTTCTGTAATTTATCAGCTCGTCAGCAACGTAGACGTGTTGTTAACCTTACAAATGTGGATTTACTTAGTAAATCAAATGTAAATATGAATATAAATACGAATGTAAATACAAATTTTGATAATACCGCTTTCTTGTCTAATCCTAAAATTAATAATAGTGATACTGAATATGAAAGTGAGAGTAATAAAGATACGACATATAAAAATGATAACAGTAATTTCGAAACGATAAATGATATGTACATTAAAAACGACAAAAATTTTGCTGTAAAAATACAACAGATTTCAACAAATGATATCACATATGATTCACGTTCATGGATTTTAAAATATAATATAAGTCATGCGGCAGCAAATGATCTTCTACAAATTTTGAGAAAACATGAGCACAAAAATTTGCCAAAAGATATAAGATCCTTAATGAAAACACCATGAAATGTACAATCGAATATCATACATATTTTTCAACAAGGCAAATATATACATTTTGGTTTAGAAGAAGGTATCAGAACTTCTATATATAAACATTATGTCAATTTGCCATAAGAAATTTGTTTAAATTTGAATATAGATGGATTGCCCATATCCAAAAATTCTTCTAGACAATTGTGGCCTATTTTAGCTGCTATAGTGGACAACGCCTTTTACACAGAGCCATTCCCAATTGGAATTTACTATGGTACAAGAAAACCAGAAAATGGAAATATTTTTTTACAGCCATTAGTTACAGATATGTTGCATATAAAGAATCAATGTGGAATATATGTCGATGAAAGACTTATTCCTGTAAAAATAAATGCCTTTGTGTGCGATGCACCAGCAAGAGCTTTTATTGCTGGCATAAAAAATCATACAGGATACTTTGGCTGTACAAAATGTGTATGCAAAGGTTTATTGAAAATTTATTGAAAATAGAGTTGTTTTTCGAGAGTTAAAATGCTCTCTTCGAACAGATGTATCACTTAAAAATAAGATGCAGCCTGGGCTATAGAAATATAAAAATTTTATATTGTCATTATTTTTTTTGTTAAAAAACAACTATTAGAGATATAAAACAAGTTATTGCGTTTTCTATTTGTTAACTCGACCCGACTCCTGACTCTAAAAGTTCTACACTTTTAGAGTCAGGAGTCGGGTCAAGTTAATAAATCGAAAACGCTATTAGATGAACATGCTATCTGCTATAGAGTTTACAAAAATTTTATTTTCTCATTATTTGTTTTATTTTTTGTTAAAAAATAACTATTGGAAATATAGAGAAAGTTTTAAACGACCACATAAAGAGATGTTAGAAAGTTATGTAAGTTAAATATATATATATATATTATTAATTTCTTAAACTCAAAAGATTTAAGCCTATTAAATAATTCTCATCTTTTCATTATCCTATTAATTAAATCCCTTTTATACTCATTAAAGATTGAAGATTGAAATTTGACCAAACAAGACAAAAATGTACATAATTTAAGTAGCTACAATTTCTTTGTCTTGTTTAATCAAATTTTAAATTTTAATCTTTAATCTGAATTTTTAAATTAATCGGATATGGATTTTACGCATTTAAAACATATATGTTATGCATTTGAAATGTATATGTGACCTAACGTTCTATATCTGAAATGTATCTGTTATATGATATATAATGGCACAATTATATATCATAAATATATTTAAAGTACAGTGATACATATCTCTGATATATCAGAGAAGTGCTTTTGTTGCTGACATTCAGAAGTACATGTACATACATGTATGTTACTTACTATGTAACTGGTTACTTTATAATATTTAATGTCATGAATCTGAGATATATATATTACATCGCTGCGTTTGCTGGGTATATTATTTTAAATCTTTGCTACAAATACATAATATAAAAAAATGTATTTTTTATTTTGGAAGCATTTCTGAAATCTTTTTTTTTTTATTTCGACAGCTTATACGTATCATACTATTGTATTTAACGCAGCATGTTACGTACGTTTTTAATGTTTGTATTTTTGCATTAATTTTATGAAAATATACTTTCATGTAATTATCATATAATATTAATATTAATTATATTTATTATTATGTTATCACACGAGCCTATTCCTCATATGGAATTTCTTATATTGATTTTAAATCACGCGGGGTCCAAGTAGCGTCTTTCTTCTACAGATTTGTTTATTTCCTAAAAAACCAACGAGAGTGAATGTTAGAAGCGTGGTGTCTGAGTAGTTTAGTGGAAAAAACAGTCGCCCGGAGAGTGGAAGATCCGGGTTCAAGTCCCGGCAAGTCACTCGCACCCTGATATTTTTTCTCTCATGTTCCTTACTTTAATTCATATATTCTGATTCTCGAATAATGAGATCGATGTACAACATGCTGCATTTTTCGTACACTTCAGTATCTCGAACTTGAGATCAGTGTACATTTTAATGTCTCAATGCAGACGAATTAAGTTTCAATACGAAACATTAAAAATTTCATCACACTAACAATTAGCGATGCTCGATAAGCCTCTTCATATATATTGATTGTTATCACACGAGCCTATTCCTCATATTGAATTTCTCTTATATTGATTTTTAATTATATTTAATTAATAGTTAACATTATTATAAAACATGAATTGTTATACCAGTAATTTTGTTTTCTGAAAGTATAAAATGCCACTATGCAGAATTATTATTTATTGTAATCTTCTCTCTGACATATCTTTATAATTAATTCTGAAAGCAGATATTACACAGTTGAATAATTTAATTACTAATTTTTGTAAGTCTACATAAATCTACATAATTTAAATTGTCCACGTGTTGAAAAATATTAGTGTATATCAAGAGACACGGTAGTGTCTCGCGCCAAGTTCACGCGCAGCGCGCAACGCAGCGCAATCAAGAGACACGGTAGTGTTTCGCGCCAAGTTTACGCGCAGCGCGCAACGCAGCGCAAGACCGACCGTGTCTCTTTAAGGTGCAATTTCACGTAGCGTC